TATTTATTTAAAATCAGAATGTAATGAGTTAAAAATTCCTAATAATAGTTTAGATAAAGATATTTCTTCTTTTAAATCAAAATATGAGGATATATGTTTGAATGTAAGCAAATTCAATAAAGGTAAAGAAAATCATAATAATATACTTTCTTTTCAAAAAGAATCACAAAAAACAAAAGGATTAGGTTTTCAATTTAATAAAAATAAATCAAAGAAAACAATTTTTGTAAAACCTTCTTGTGATTTGTATGAATATAGAAATAAAAATTTGTGTAAAAAGAAATCAAAATTCTTTTCTATTTGGGTTCCAAAGGAATTAACTTCTTTACATAAGAATTTTTATATTTCTGATTTTATTAAACATATTTGTTTATCAACTAACTATTTAGGAAAATCAAACTCTTCATGGGTTTGGTTTCCTAAAGGCTAATTTAAAGGACCCAACATAGTATGGGTACCAAAACTGTAAATGTTCATTATTTCAGGTACCCAAGAAAGATAGGTGGATTTTGGATAGTGGTTGCTCCAAACATATGACTAGAAACATACAATTGTTGTCATCTTTTTAAAACAAGGATGATGGTACTGTTACTTTTGGAGATAACAATAAAGAAAAAGTCATCGGTATTGGATCTGTCGGTAATCCAAACAAACCTATCATTAATAATGTTCTATTAGTTGATGGTCTTAAACATAATTTACTTAGTATTAGTCAACTTTGTGATAAAGGTTTTAAAATTGTTTTTGAAAAAGAATCTTGCTTAATTTATGATATTGATTTAATTACTATTATTTTTAAAGGTCATAGAAAGAATAACATATATGTTTTATGTATGAAAAATATTTCAAATGAACATTGTCTTATTGCATCATCTAATGATTCTATTTTATGGCATAAAAGTTTTGGACATGTTAACTTTAAACACATTTCTAAGATTTCTAAAAAAGATTCAGTAAATGGTTTACCTAAGATGTCTTTTAAAAACAATTTTTGTGATGCATGTCAACAAGGAAAAATGCACAAATCTTCTTTCAAATCTAAAAATGTAATATCTACAAGTAGACCATTAGAATTAATTCACATAGATCTTTTCGGTCCTTCTAGAGTATCATCTTTAAATGGAAGTAGATATGCATTTGTTCGTGTTGATGATTATTCTAGATTTACATGGGTAATTTTTCTTAAACATAAAAATGATGTTTTGAATGAGTTTTCTATATTTTGCAAAAAATTCAAAATCAAAAATCTACTTCTATTATCTCTATACGTAGTGATCATGGAGGTGAATTTAAAAATGAATTATTTACAATTTTTGTGATAAACATGGTATATCACATACTTTTTCTTTTCCTCGTGCTGCTCCACAAAATAGAGTTGTAGAAAGAAAAAATAGAACTTTACAAGAATGTGCTAGAACCATGTTATGTGATAGTAATTTACCAAAATATTTTTGGGCAGAAGCTGTATCAACAGCTTGTTATGTATTAAACAGAGGTTTATTAAGACCTATTTTAAAGAAAACCTCTTATGAATTATTTTATAACAAAATTCCTAAAGTATCTTACTTTAAAGTTTTTGGTTGTAAATATTTTATTTTAAATAAAAAGGACAACTTAGATAAATTTAATTCTAAATCTGATGAAGGAATTTTTGTTGGATATTCTAATCACAGTAAAGCATATAGAATATATAACAAAGAACACTAGTTATTGAAGAATCTTTACATGTTTCATTTGATGAAATTTTTTCAAAATCACCTATTATTTTAAATAATGATGATGATATAATTGATACTATTCATGATACTCCAATGATAGATATTACAAAAGATGATAATTTACAAAATAATTTACCTAAAGATTTTGTAGAAGTTAAAAATCATCCACATGATTTAGTTATTGGAAATATTTCTGATAAAATAACTACTAGATCTCATTTTAATTTGATTGCTTATACTGCTTTTATTTCTACTATTGAACCTAAAAATATAAAAGAAACTTTACTTGATGATTTTTAGATAATTGCAATGCAAGATGAACTAAATCAATTTACAAGAAACAGTGTTTGGGATCTTATACCAAGACCTCAAAATAAATCTATTATTGAAACAAAATGGATTTTTAGAAATAAATTAGATGAATATGGTCAAGTTATTAGAAACAAAGCTAGATTAGTTGCTCAAGGTTATAATCAAGAAGAAGGAATTGATTATGATGAAACTTATGCACCTATTGCCCGTTTAGAATCAATTAGAATTTTACTTGCATTTACATGCTTTATAAATTTTAAATTATTTCAAATGGATGTTAAAAGTGCTTTTCTAAATGGTTTTATAAAAGAAGAAGTTTTTGTAGAACAACCTCCAGGTTTTGAACATGAAAGTTTTCCAAATCATGTTTTTAAACTTAAAAAAGCTTTATATGGTCTTAAACAAGCTCCTTGTGCTTGGTATGACAGATTAAAAAAGTTTCTTTTAACTTCAGGTTTTTATATTGGTAAAGTTGATTCAACATTATTTATTAAAAAATAAATAAAGTTATTTTACTAATCCAAATATATGTAGATGATATTATTTTTTGTTCTACTAACAAGAATCTTTGTCAAGAGTTTGCTAAGACTATGCAGGATGAATTTAAAATGAATCACATGGGTGAACTGAATTTCTTCCTTGGACTACAAATTAAACAATTAAAAGAAGGAATATTCATCAATCAAAGCAAGTATGCAAAAGATTTACTCAAACGTTTCGGAATGGAAAATACAACAAGCAAACCAACACCAATGAGTACTACTACATCACTTGACAAAGATAAAAATGATAAGAATGTTGATAAAAAGCTTTATCGAGGTATGATTGGATCACTTCTTTACATTACTACAAGTAGACCTGATATTATGTTTAGTGTATGTTTATGTGCTAGATTTCAATCTAATCCTAAAGAATCACATCTTAAAGTAGTAAAAAGAATTTTTAGATATATTAAAGTTACTACAAATTATGGTTTGTTTTATCCAAAACATAGCTTATTTGATTTAATATCATATAGTGATGCTGATTTTACCGAATGTAAATCCGATAGAAAAAGTACAAGTGGAACATGTCATTTCTTAGGACATTCTCTTGTATCTTGGTTTAGTAAAAAGCAAAATTCAGTTTCATTATCAACAACTGAAGCTGAATATATTGCTGTAAGTCTTGCATGTGCTCAAATTTTATGGATGAAATAAATATTATCTGATTATGACATAAATTGTCCCATATCATCCATAATGTGTGACAATTCTAGTGCAATTAGTTTATCTAAAAATCCTATTCAACATTCACGTACAAAACATATTGATATTAGACATCATTTCTTACGTGATCATGTGCTCAAAGGTGACATTTCATTAGAATTCATACCTACTGATAAACAAATAGCAGATATTTTAACAAAACCCTTAAAAGAAGAAATTTATGTTAAATAATGAAGGGAATTAGGTATATGTTCAATTGAAGATTTAAATTAAATTTTTTAAAACAAACACATATGCATACATATCCTCAATAGTCGACTAATTTGACCTATAGTCGACTACATGCACAAGTATTGCATATAATTTTTTCTGTGAATTACAGTGTAGTCGACTAATTTCATCTATAATCGACTACTCTGAGTCAAAAACTAAAAATCAACTTTCTGTCAATTACAGTGTAGTCGACTATTTTTCTTATTAGTCGACTACTAATACTGAATTCACAGTTTTTCAATTTTAAAGCTTATTGGATTTTTTATTAAATCAAACCCAAAACCCAAAACCTAATACCCGTTTTATTTAAGTAGAGTTGATCTCAACCATACATTTTTAACTCTATAAATCCTAGCCTCATATCTAAGACAAAATCTTCACCTTTCATTCTTTTTACAGTTAAATCTGGACCATACAATGAAATTCTTAAAAAAATAATAATAATAACCTAAAACTACCCACTAACTTATCCCAAAACCGAGTCTTCTTTTTCCTCTCTTCAGAAACAACAGATTCCAAGTTAGGGCATCTTCTTCTCCTCAAAATTTTTCATCAAGTTCATCAATTTTTGGAGTCTATCTGGTTCATCTGTCAGGTTCAGTAGTCGACTACACCAAGTATTAGTCGACTAATCTAGGGTTTCATCAGTTTGTGGTAAAATTATCAACTTTTTTTTTGGTCAATGAAAAATTTTATTCATAACCAAAATGTGAAATATATGTACATCAAAGACATTCGGTTGGATAAGGAGGAGGAGAATTCAGCTGTGTATGCTTGTTTTGGTAGCCTGAATGAATTCTCAGCTGATCAGCTGCGAGAAATTGCGCTGGGGCTCGAGGCCTCGGGCCAATTATTTGTCTGGGCTGTGAGGGATATCAATAGACAGAACGAAGCAGAGTGGTTGCCTGAGGATTTTGAGGAGAGGGTGAAGGGGAATTTTGCTTCATGTTGAAAGATTCTTTGGTTCCTTTCTTTCCATATAGCATAGACTGTAACTGACAGTGCTAATCTCTTAAGCTTCAACATGAAACCATTTCCTTTCAGTTTTTCACTATACCATTGAATAACACGCTCCCAGTTGCAAGTTTTCCACCTGAAATTCATCCATTCCATAGTTCTGTTCCAGATAGTAGCAGAGAATTCACATTCAAAAAAAAGATGCCCAATGGTTTCATGCTTTTGATGAGTGCATAGAACACAGGAGTTAGTATCGAGGATCCCCAAGTGACACAACCTGGCTTTTGTTAACAGTCTAGATTGGATAGCAAGCCAAAGTATAAAGGAGTGCTTAGGATACATCCATCCATCCCAGACTGTTCTAGACCAAACAACAGGTGCATTTTGCTGTATGATTTCATTATAGATAGAAGAAATCTGAAATTTACCTCCAGAACAGTACCTTGTGATAATATTCAGCACATTTGAGATATTTCCAAACTTGGATATCATTTTATCTCTCACTTTAAGCATTTGCTTCCACATCCATGAATCATTCAATTTTACTTGCACTTGCCAGATGTTTGACTGCCTTAGATAATGCCCATGAATCCATTTGATCCACAATACAGATGTTTGACTGCCTTAGATAATGCCCATGAATCCATTTGATCCACAATAGATCCTTCTTGAGGTGTATCATCCAAAGGAGCTTCATAGCCGCTGCAAGATTCCAGGCTCTAGCAGAGAAAATCCCCAAATCTCCATGCTCTTTATCTTGACATACTGCAGTCCATGATATTAGATGTATTTTGTGATTCCACAAGAATTCAGAACAGAGATTATCAATTTTTTCCAGGACTTTAACTGGGAGAACATAATTGCTAGTCCAATAGAGTTGAACACCCAGAATAACAGTTTTAATCAGCTGCAGTCTTCCTGCATAAGACAGAGCTTTCTTCTTTTGCCAGTTTTGAAGCTGAGTAGATATCTTATTGATCAATGGATAGCAGTCCATATAAGACAGTCTCTTAGAGATTAGTGGTACTCCTAAGTATCTCACAGGAAGTACTCCTTCAGAGAAATTAAGGAGAGCACAAATTTGAGTTTTTAAATCATCTCCAATCCCACTCATGTAAATAGAACATTTGTTAGGATTTGTTTCTAATCCAGACACACAGCTGAAATCTGAAAGGCATTCTTTTAATTTTGCAATAGAGTATAGATCATCCTTGCAGAAAAGCAACAGATCATCAGCAAAGAAGAGATGGGAAATTTTCAGCCTTGAACACTTTGGATGATATTTGAACAGTCTATCTTCTTTGAGCATGCATAGCCTTCTCGAAAGATACTCCATTCCTAAAACAAATAGGTATGGGGAAAGAGGATCTCCTTGTCTTAAACCTCTAGCTCCCTCAAAATAGCCATGAAGTGTGCCATTTAAAGATAGGGAATATTTTGGAGTACTAATGCACTGCATGATTCAGTTAATCATGTTCTTTGGAAAGGCTAAATCAGTGAGCATATCTTCAATAAATTTCCAATTTATAGTATCAAAATCTTTCCTTAAGTCAATGTTAAGAATAGCTCTTGGAGTTGTGGACTTCCTGCCATAGTGCTTGATCAATTCATGAGCTAGAAGGATGTTACTAGATATAGCCCTTCCTTTAACAAAGGCACTTTGAGCCTCGTTAATCAGATAACCCATAACCCCCTGAATTCTGGTTGCAATGACTTTTGAAATGATTTTATAAACAACATTGCAACAAGATATAGGTCTATAGTCTGAAGGAGATTTGGGGTTGAGGATCTTAGGAACCAAAGTAATAGAAGTACTATTTAGAGCTCCAAGAAGTTTACCAGATTTAAAAAATTCCTCAACAGCAAGAAGAAGATCATCTTTGATCAGATTCCAGGATGCTTTGAAGAAAAGAGCAGTGTAGCCATCAGGACCAGGAGCTTTTTCATTATCCATAGAGAATAGTGCTTGTTTAATCTCATCTCTTGAAACAGGTGCACTCAGGTTATTTGCTTGATCAGTTGAGATAACAGGCCCTTTAGCTATCACATCATGATTAATCTCTGCACAAGAACCAGTGTATCCCAGGAGGTTTTTGAAGTAGGCAATGAATTCCATAGTAATGTCAGACATATCAGTAAGCCTTATTCCATTATCAGAATATATTGACAGGATCCTATTTTGATGTCTCTTAGTCTTCATAACAGAATGAAATAATTTAGAGCATTTATCTCCATGAAGACTCCATTTGATGTTAGCTTTTTGCCTGTAAAAAGAAGCTTCAAAATCAATCAACCTGGCACAGGTACTCAGACAAGTTTTCTCCTTTGCTATCAGATCAGAATTGAAAGGAGCATTGGTTAATTGCTGTTGAATCACAGAAAGTTCTTCTTTGGCTCTTATAACCTGCTCACTAATACTCATAAAATGTCTTTTGTTCAACTCTTTTAAAACCGGTTTGAGATTTTTCAGCTTTATACATGTAATAGCCCCTGAGATCTTTTGTAACCAGTTTATACATGTAATAGCCCCTGAGATCATAAAATTATCAACTTTATCTTTGTATCTTCTGTTATTTTTCTGTTTCATCATGTCTAGAGCTAAGAAAGCTAAGCAAACTCATACTAATGTTAACGATAAAATCATCATTTACTTAAAAAGTCCTGATTTACTAGAAGAATTTAACAAAATATCCACTTTTGAAGTTCTTCCAGGACGATTTGTGAAATTTGATGATTTTATTCCCTGGAACTTTGGATCATATTTTGATAATGTGGGCTTGCTTGAATTGTTCTTTGCTGAAAATAGAAAACTCACATATCCTTTTCTTGTTCAATTATTCTATACTAATATAAAACGTGTTGGAACTATTGATGGTTCTGAAAAACTCAAAACTCTTGTTAAAGGAATAGAAATTGACTTGACTATAAAGTCAATTGGAAATTTTTTTAATATTCCTTATCAAGGAGTCTCTCTTAGGTCAGTTAGGATGAATGACTCAGATCTTTTATCAAATCATATATTTCTTCCTGGTTATAGTAAACCTTTAAATAATTCAAACAAACTTCGTCCAATTACTAGGTTCATTGTACGAATCTTAGCATATAACTTGTTTCCAAAAACTGGGAGTTTCCATTTCATTTCCCTAGACTTAGCAAAAGCTCTATATGCTATAATAGGAAATATCCAAGTTAATTGGGCTGAAGTTTACTTTGACAATCTTCTGACAATACCAAGAGGATTTCTTCCTTATGGTGCCTTTTTAACAAAATTATTTGACAAGTTTCATGTGGATCTTCAATCTAAAAATTCTGTTGTCCGTTCCATTGAATTTTTTGATTCCAATGCCCTAACTAGGATGAAGTTAACAAATTTTGAAATTCAAGAACAAAATCCTCAAGATGATCCCCATCCACATCAAGAAGAAATTCCACAAGATATTCCACAATCTTCAACTCAAGCAGGAACTTCTTCTAGT